TCAGAGATAAACTTTTGCGCAGAAAGTGAAATCAACCTAACACTGAAGATAAAAATACAAGTTACATACATATAGTGATAGAAAGTTTTCACATATTGTGTAGTTCCAGAAAATATCCATACCCCCACCACGGAGGATTTCGGAAATTCCGAGGGGGTGGGGGGTTAAAGTAGCTTGGAAATTCCGAGGGGATGGGGGGTTAATCTGCAATCGATCTACAAAAAATCGATATGCATAGATATGCGTTATTACCGTATTCCTGACTCGGTGCTCTTTAAATAAGTTATTTGACGTGAATTTAAATGAAGATTGTGCTTCAAACAGACAGCTTCTACACAAAATGGGTTTTCTTTCGATTGAAGAAAGAAAATACAAGTGACAACTGTCAGTAGAATGACTACCACGCTAAAATTCGCGTACACGTTTTTACAAGTCTGCGAAACTAAAACTCAATATACATGTACTTGTATTTAAAAAGAAAGAAAGGTTGATAATAGAAAAAGGCAAAAGAATCCTTCTTTATTGAATAAGTGTATAAATAAGATTCTAGATTTATTTGTTTAATTAGGGGATCAAAGCACGTGGTCATGTGGTTGTTTACACTCAAGTGACGGTTCGATAATCGGCAAAGATTTATGACCACAAAGAAGCTTGAACTTTAGGTAAAACACGAAAATCGAACATTTACTATGCTAAAAAAATAAATATTTTGGAGGAAAAAATCGATTTCTAGATCGTAATAGAAGTGCAAATTTTTATATAAACAGTAAAGAAACTTGCTCACGTTCTGGTAGAATTCGCAAAGTTCATGGATATACATGCATATCAAATCAATGTGCTGCTAGACTTCGTTGTTCCATCTCCGGGGCTTTCGTTTGCTATTTGTCCTCTGTTCTTCTGATACTCAAAAACATTTGATTTTAAATTGCCAGGCGTATTTAAATGCGTATCTTGTATTGACGGAAATTCCGAGGGGGTTGGGGGTGATACCTGCCTTTTTATCGGAAATTCCGGAGGGGTGGGGGGTTAGGGAAGAGTTGTAAAAAATCGGTCAAAAATTGAAAATTCCAGGGGGGCCGGGGGTCATAAATGAAATATCCTCCGTGGTGGGGGTATGGATATTTTCTGAAACTACACATTTTGCCACAATTTTAGATGGTAGACAAGGACGTGAATATTGCATTTCACTGCTCCCAGCCATCTTGAAAGGTAACCAAGAGACAGGATGAGCTTTCTTAGGTGTGAATAGAAGGTATCGATCACTGCAGGTTCAATATTTCAGGTACTTTGGTGCACAGGTTCTTAAAAGGATCTTGGCTACCTTTCAAGATGGCACTCTCAATCTGTGAAATGGAGTATTGGTACTTTGTACTTACACTCGGATATCTGTTGCATCAAATCCAGCTCGGTTAAGATAATACGCCGTAACAGCATCTGGAATCTGCAAAAGACATACATAAAATTCACATTGTTACACTATTAATATTGATTAATTACGTATTTTGGTAAAAAAAAACAAGCATGCTTCATGAAAGCACAAATCAGGCACGCTTCAGTTCGTGAAAGCTTAATTTAAGAAAAAGATTGACACTTCGAAATTGCGAAAGRAAGCTAGAAATAACATTGTTTTGACACACACCATACACTWCTTAAAGATCTTTAATAGCAAACAAYAATTTTCAGAGCTAAAGACAGTGAGWCTATATTGTTTTATGTGTTGAATAYGCTGAAGTGATTAACTATATTACCGTCGGAGTATAATCATCTAGTTGAGACAAGAACTCTGCTAACGAAGTCCCTGCGGTCCTAACTTTAGTATCTTGTTGCAAAGCGGCCTGCGCATTCCCTGAAGCTGTTGTTGGTTGAGCAGATTGCGTCGATATTACAGGATTTGCCGCGGCAACTGAGCTAGAAACAGCGATAGAATTTGACGATTTTTGTTGCGAAGCGTCCGCCATTTTGTCTTTCAACTCAATGCGCATGTATATTGTGTAGAACAGCTGTGTAAACAATGCGGGCCCATATCTTAGTTACCAGGTTTTTATCAAGCGCGTCCAACATGGCGGACAAGGACGATGTTTTTGACAATTTTATTATTTTTGAGATTTTCACTTGGAAGCTTTTCGAAAGAGCAGTATTTCTGGATGCGGTGTTGGGTTTTGAGCTATTGGAAGGAAGCTTTTATGCTAAGGGCTTWCATAGCTACGGAATTTTGGGGTTAAATTTTGAATTTAACKTGGCAACGAAGAAACGTTTTGCGTGAGAAAATTGTCTTCTAAGATGTCCTAAGCTTTTATTTAGAATAAATTCATGCTGGATTTATTTGTTTAAAAGCGGGGGCATGATATCATCCTTGGATACCACAGAATATGCAGGATGTGTCTCCGTCAACGCATTAGCATGAATTCCGCCATTAATAATTAATACTTCGAGATCTTTCTCCCGTAGTTTCCATGAAGTTGTATCATTCTGTGGTTGATCAAGACAAACAAAGTTTCTAAACAAAAGTATGACCTTTTGATTCAAGTTGAAGAATGGCCGAAGAGGCAGAGAAAGTTCTTTCCGCCGCTCGAGATGGAGATATCAAGGCGCTACAGTCTTTTAGGCGATCTGTTCCCTTCGCGACGGATAGTTTTGGCGCAACAGCCCTTCACCATGCAACTCGACATGGCAAACTTGAATGCGTTCGATGGATGGTCGAGAAAGTCGGAATGAAGGCAAARGTTAAGGCAAATAATGGSGCTAYACCGCTTCACGATGCSTGTACACAAGGCAAGCTTTTGTGCGTCAAGTTYTTCGTACAAGAATGCCARTTGAATCCYGATGTTWSYGATAACTCGGGGCACACACCACTTCATTTAGCGGCTCGTTTTGGTTATGTAGACATTGTAAAATGGATGATTAACAAAGCTAAGTCCAACCCGAGATTGAAGACGATGAACCGAATGAATACAGTTCACTTCGCTGCAGCGGGTGGTCACCTGAGTTGCTTGGAGTTTCTTATCTCCAGCGGGAACACGATGTAAGCAAAACTTCTTTAATACATACGTTATGAAAGATAAGAATTCTGCCTAAGTTTAACCCTATTTATTATATATAATTCTTCTTAGAATTACCGTACGCAGCGAAATTTTAAAAACAATTTTTATGCTCTGTAGTAATTAATCTCAAAACAATTATTCCAAATTCCTGACACAATCATGTCATTTTTATTATTGAAAAGTCAAAGGTGTCAATGCTTATTGAATCTATAAAAACAACATTTTTATCAAGCAATTTTAGCCTGCTTTTGACAAATAATTTGAAGGCATTCGGGGTTTTATATTTAGATCGTTGCTTAAATTGTCAAGAACTAAAATTTCTATGGCTTAAACACCTGTTCAACACGTCCTGAAATAAAGTTTCTGAAGCTCCCAATAAATAAAGAATTTAAACACTTAAGAAAAAAATTCAAACAAGCGAAGTTTCTACTATAAATCTATTACGTATTGAAGCACTCGAGCCTAGTGGCAAAGGAATACAATATATTTATTTAGTTATAGTTTAATTTTAATTTTATTCGCGACAATTCAACAATAGCTTGAATAATATTCGAAAACTTCGTGATACCAATGTCTTTTATCCTTTTGAATTACTTTTTCAGTGTAAATCTCTTCTTTTTTTTTCTTGTATCATTCGTCAAAACACGCACTTTTTATGTTTGAGAGAATTGTAGAGTGTAAGAAGGTTAAAATCTATTCAGCAGCGTATTTTSCAATGCTATTGTGAGGCATGTYGCCATAGGAAAATTAWATATCATAACAGCATCTCAAAGATAAATAAAAAAAACTTGACAAAATCAATTTATAATAGACTCTTAGACGAGAGAGCTACAGATGGCACAACGCCAATCTTCATCGCGTCACAGAATGGACACTTCCCATGCCTTAAGTACTTGCACACAGTTGGAGMAAAGTGTGAGTTAAGAAGTCGAGACGGAATGCATTTGATTCATGCCGCTGCACAGAATGGGCATTTAGATTGCATAGGATACTTGGTAAGGATTTTCTACCGCTTCTTCAACAAGATAGCCAGGCGTTCTTAGCCGCAATGAGAAATTTTGCGCCAAGGGTGTTTCTCTGGCCCTGGAGCGGCTAGAAACACCTGGCTACCAAAAGAATAGTCCTCAGTKTATCTATGCTATTAGGTTGYTAATGGTCTTGCTAGTGAAACGGAGGGAGACAGTACTGGAGCAACACCAGCGCACTATGCTTCAGGAGAAGGTAGAGACCTATGATTATAGCACCTTTCAGATAAGCMAAAMMMAAAA